AGTCCACCATCTCCCTCTCACCCTCTCGCTACCTGACTTCAGTGCATCAGCAGACTACGAGAGAGCGGGATTGGTGACATTTGGTCCAGACTTGACATTGGGCGTCAGACATTTGACGAGGGATTATCTGGGACTTGTACCAAAGACTTGGTGTTGATGACATTCCCCTCTTCCCCCTCTTCTTCGTCTGATCCCCTCCTCTTCGTCTGTGTATGGTCTGGACCTGGCGCATTCTTCCTGTGTGTAGCGCCAGGCCCCTTCACACCTTGTGATGAGGATGATGTATGTTTGGTCTGCATTGCGACATTGATTGGGCTAGTCATTGGTATTCTAGCATTCCGCTGCGCTGTCTTGTACTACGTGAGAGAGGTCAGTCCCGGTCAGGTCAAGGCTTATATCTAAGTCTTCCACTGCKCTACAARGYGCCRTTTTGTATGTATCAGGATGTACATTGCTTGTTGAGATTCCACTAACATCGCATTGTCCATTCAGTCCTTTTTATCACATTGCGGATCCTTGGCTTTACATGCATTGCGCAACTGGGTATGTAACAGATGCATAGGCCTCCCATACAAGCCCTGGGGGTCCGACCTCGGACCGCGGGACCCTAAGGCCGCACGCTGTACATTTTGGGTGGTCTTAGGCCCATGGACTTTTTTTGGGGGGGGGAGTCGGTTTGCTCATTCAGGCAGCCTGTAGTCAGTGTGTTTGTTTGTGTATAGTTTTACTCCACTTATTATTAGGGTGAGGGTTAGGGTTTATTATTGACTGGTATTATTTATTATTAATTTATTAAACAATAATTATTGTTAATTTGGACCATTTCTTGATTTATGTGCAAGGAGTACGAGTGAGAACGCTATACAGAAAGCCAAGTTGCGAAATCATACAGATGTCCAAGGTGTCATGTACCAAGCAGAGAGCATAAATGCGCCAATATTCCATTCACATAAGAGCGTTACAATGAACTCATGAGCCAACGTTCAAGCCCTCGGGCCACACCAACGCAGTATCCAATGTCGCTCCAACTGTATGGCGCCCAGCGCCCTTCCTACTCTACCTAGCCTATCTTACTACAGCCGCATTTAGCACCCTTCCTACTGTACCTAGCCTATCCTATTACAGCCACAGCCGCATTCATGCAACAGGCTCACTTACACTTTGGAGACCAATGTACATGACGTCAACACCATAGCCGACCTGCCCTCACACCAGGTACGTATCTTGTCTCTGATACATGCCCAGTTGGGCAATGTACGTAGAGCCAAGGATCTGCAATGTGATGAGAAGGACTGAATGGACAATGCAATGTCAGTTGAGCATCAACAAGCAATGTACACCCTGATACATACGAAATGGCACATAGTAGCGCAACAGAAGACTTCAAGACAAGTCCTGACCTGACGGAAAGAAGAAAGGTCCCTCCTTGTACACGCACATGAGGAGGTACCACAGATGAGATGGGGGGAAGAGGAATGACGAAGCTGGAGGCGAAGGGGGGAAACCCAGATCGCAATAGCGAAGTCCAAAAAAGAGTCCCTTGCGGATGTCCAATCAATGTCTGCCTCAGAAATGTCGAATCAGAATCTGGGCACAATGCCCACTGTAACCTCTGCCTGTATCCTCTGCCTGTCACACCTCTCACTCTCATATCTGAAGAAGGAGAAGAAGAAGAAGAAGAAAGGAGAGAGAGAGAGAGAGATGGAGGGGAAGACAAAGAGATAGTCTTCTCTACTGTTTCACCTGCAGGAAGGCCGCCGTCACCTCTCTCACTACCGCGTGGTTGCTGTCCTGTGCAGGTCGCGAGCGGAGCCCCAGCTATGGCGCCAGGTAAGTCCGCCGTCCGCAGGTATGGCAGAGCCGCAGCTATGGCGCCAGGTAAGTCCGCCGTCCGCAGGTATGGCCTCTGCCCTCTCCTACCTACTCCCCTACCACTAGTCCGCCATCCGCAGGTATGGCCTCCGCCGTCTCCTACCTACTCCCCTACCACTAGTTCGCAGCGCAGCGCTAAGCTGCAGCGATGGTCCAGCAGCTTGTCGCTCGAGCAGTGAGCTACCCGAACTGTCCCTCGCCCAGCCGCTGCCCAGATATATGTAGGGCTGGGCGGGCTGGGCCTGCCTGGTGCTGGCCTCAGAAACGGCCCAGGTGGTCTGGGTCCCTACCGGACGTCCAGACCATGTTGCTGATGCAGCAGGCGCAAAAACGCGCCAGGCCTGGATCAGGCCCCGTTCCTGTGTTCCTGGCCCAAGGCGCTGCCTTGGTGCCTGCGGTCCGAAACGGTATTGGTACCGTCGAGTCAAGCGCCAAAACGTGCCTGGTTTCGGAAGGGCCTCGTGCCTCTGTACCTGGCCCAAGGCGTCGCCTTGGCGTCTGCAAGTCTGAAACGACGTCTGCACAGACAAGGGACAAGACAACAGGTAAGTAAATAAATACATAAATAAATACTGCCGCCTCTTATTTGGAATCTGCGGTCTGGGGGTCGCCGTGGGCCTCCAGGGCGCATGTCTGATGGCATGCGGCCTGGGGGCCCCTTAACAACCGTCAGGCCCCTTAAAATGGGCCCGTGTGCAGGCGCAGCATGTAACATCTCCCCTCATCAGCCCCTGACCACCCACAATCGCCTCCTTCCTGAAGACCACCAATCGCCCCTTACCCCCTTGCGCCCTGCAGCCTGGCTATGGCTGCTCGCGCACCGCTGCCCTGCAGCGCCTCTCTCACCTTGCGGGCGCCCGCATGCGCCCTGGCCGGTAACGCAGCATGCAGCCTCTTGCACAGCAACACAGCAGCGTGGCCGGTAACACAGCATGCAGCCTCTTGCACAGCAACGCAGCAGCGTGACTGCATTGCCTGTGTGGGCCAGAATCCCCGACCCTGGCTGCCTCACTTCTTATATGGAAGTGGCAGCCTCTGTTGGCTTCCTGTGGGCCTGGCTGAGAAGCTTCCAATAGCTTCCGGTCGGGCCCCAGTGCCTGCGCCCAGGCCCAGCTCTGTAGTTGAGGGCCTGGGCTCTTTACAGTTGGGCACGCCCAGTATTTCCAGACTTCGGCAGTTTGCTGCATTTGCACAGGCCGCGGGGTAGGTACATTGACAGTGCTGCTTTCTCGTAGGCTCGTGGCCACTTTGTGATGTACCTGCCTGGCAATGTGTGTGCCTAGGCACAACTGTACGGCGCAGCACATATATTTCCAGAAAGAGCCAAGAGGCTCTCGTTTCCTTCTAACCAATTAGCGTGCTGCAACCGCCTGAGTACCCACGTATGGAAAATGTCAAAATTTGGCCTCTTGTGAATAATCAGGCCCTTCTTCACTTAGGGCCGGCACATGGCTTGCTGAGGGCCTCTGCCCAGAACATGTGCATGTCTGATAAGAGTCCCACGAGGGCTCATTCCTTGCATTCCATCCCCCTTAGCTTCGAAAGTCCGCTGAGATGCTTCATGCTGGTGCCTTCCCCTTCAGTCTTCATTCGCACTCGGCCACAATCTGAGGAGCTGTCTTGACAAGTTCCTCTCTTGTGAACCAACGATCTTCCTTAGGATCCGTATGATTCCTGAACCGAACCTGGTACTCTGTCATAGGTTTAGGCGGTCTTCCCGGGCCAGCTGGCTTGGGAACAGGCATGTCTCTGTGTTCCAGAATATCGTCGACGTCCTCGTGACCATCTGTGGTTGGGGCCAGCATTGATCTCCTTGATAGGAATTGCTGTTTCTCAACGAATGGTGCAAGCTTTGAGGTGTGAAACCACGGTAGGTGCGCAAATGACCAGGGATTCTAATCACGCACGAGGGACCATCCAAATCACTA